TCCTGCGCCTATATGGCAACGCACGCGTGGCAGGCTGACCTTCGGTCCGGGCTGCTACCCCGAGAAAGGGCATGGAGGCATGGGGGAAAGGGGATCCGTGTAATCACCCAAGGGGTAAAGAGGCAGACGGGGGTAAAGAGGCCGACGTGGACGTCGGTTGTGGAAGCGTGATGGAATGTTAGGATCCCACATTGAAAGGGAAAATGGTGGGCATGTGGGTTATAAAGGCTTGGGCACCCTCCCTTTATAAGTCAATTTTCCAAGGAGAGTTCTACCCAAGCCCATGAAAGACCCATGGCCCAGCCCACATTGTTGAGTTATTGGAGTGGGTTCCTATCAGAGAAGGGGAAGCCAATATTGCCAAGATAACCACAATCAAAACGAGGACACCTTGGATTGAATCTCTTTTCTTCTTGAGCCAAGGAATACCGAAAAAGATGAGAAAGAAGAAAGAACACATGATAAGTTGAAAAAGCCATCTAAATATTACTATTAAGAAATCGTAGAACACTAGAACTAACCCATGTATTCTGTAATACTGTAATTGCTTCTACTCAATACGTTCAATAATTTTATCCTTTAAAACGCGTCAGTTGACTTGGAAATTGAGTGGTAAAGACTCGCAAAAACAGACTGAAAAGAAGTTGACTTGGAAATGTTTTGATTGTATTTTTACCTGCTTTCTCTGTGAGCAGTCGAGTCATTGACTCATTAGATGTATGATAGCCAATTCATGATGATAGCTTCAATAAATCTCTCGATGTAAGAAAGATATGGGACATAGCTAGTTGTGCAAGACAGAATTTAATAATTATTCTCATTCTAAGAGGTTATACTCTTCTAACAGGTTAGTCCTAATTATTCCAAAAAAAAAATTGATATTAAACCTCTCATTCTTATTCTTTTATTATAAAAGGATCCACCTAGATTAAAAATATTATAGAAGAACCCCATCATCATAGGCTTAAAATCTCTTTTTCCTTCAGTTATTCATCCACTAACAAGCAAACCCGCCCGCGACCATCAACATACTGTAGTACAACACATTCACTCTCTTTACTTTGCGAATTTTGTGCACAATCCTTTGTCTAGATGTGTCAAATAAGTAGAAGAAGACAACTCGAAGCCATCTTCGTGAGTTTGATGTCACAGGCTTTTTTTTTTTTTGTGGAGTCAATGAGGACAAGTCTTTCCATTACAATTCGCTAAAAATTATTGGTCCAACATGTAACCAAGATAAAGATTATATGTTGGCTGAAAATTCAGCTTTTGTCTAACACAATCTGAAAATTGGCAGAAAAAACAGAGGAAAATTACATGCGGGTTCAATTTTAACAGGTTATAGTCTCATACACTGGCTTCTATTCTTCTGTTCAAAACCAAAATTTAAACAATTACATGAACATTAAGATTAAATTGAACTTATAATGGGTACTAAGTAGCAGTAAAAAAATTGTGTCACCATTGATATCAACACAAAATGGAAGACAGAAAGTGGGGAGAATTATAATTGTGAAAGTTTCTAGGTTTATTTGATTTCATATTTTAGAATAATCATATGTAAGGCTATTACAATTGACTAATGTTCTAATCTAAACCATTGTTTTAAAACCTGACCCGTTGTGAGACCTGGCAATGTGACCAGGTCACTGGTGGACCTGTTCAACCAGTTGGATTGGTGATGTCAACAATAAAAATAGTTTTTAAAAATTGTTATTAGTCCCGTAACTTTTAGTATATTTAAAAAATACCCCTAAAAATCACAAATTTGACCCTAAAATTTCAATTTATTAAAAAAATGCCCCAAATAATTACGTTAGTATCCAAATTTTTGAAATATTACAAAAAATTACAAATTAATCCCCAAAAAATTATAAATTAATCCCTTTAAGTTTGAAAAATAGCAAAAACCCCCTAGAACCTGAACCAGACCGGTCCGGGTTTTAAAACAGAGATCCAGATGACTCGGTTGTTCTTGGAATTCTAGGAGGAGAAGCCAAACCAAGATAAAAGAAGAACTTGGAAGAGCAAATTCCTAAAGGCACAATTGTTCCAAGGTTTTGGTGGAAATGCATTGTTTTCTTGAAGCAAGACCATGTTACCCTGAGATATGCTTGCAACATAAAACATTACCAAGTGAACCACAAATACAGACATTTTTTTGTTGTCTGTAAACAGAGGTTACAAATTTGATAAGTCTACGGTCAGATAAGATTGTTTAGTCGCCATCTCTTACAAAACACCAAGAAAATTAAATATTAGATAATCCAATTTGGTTTGAATTGCATTCCCTCCCTTAATTCAGGTAACTAGTTGGAATTTATTATGAAATCTCAAACAATCTTGATATTTTTAGTGGGAAATATACATTTTAATTAATACATTATAGGATTAGCACTCTAGTAGCATTGAAGTATTGGCTAGTTGTGATCTTGGAGAAGATAGGAAGGGCTTTGGTGGGATTTCCAAAGAACCGAGACTCCCGTCCAACATGTTACAAGCCCATCACTCTACTCACTGTGTCTAAGGGATTAGTTTGGATACACCACAAACTCACCATTATCATCTTTCTCTCAAATTCTTTATCCTCTTCATTTTCAATGCCTTGGAGCTCAAATTCTTCATCCACTTCAAGGTGCTGGTATATCCAATGTGGTAAATATATTTCACTGGTGCGATCAACTTCAACATTGATAATTTTTATCCCTCTAACCATTTCTAAAACCATTATTCCATAACTATAAACATCTGACTTGTGAGAGACGCTTCGAAACTTTTAGCTAAGCAAAGCACACAAGAATGAAAGTGCAACATATAATCTGAAACTCTATAGAAAAACAGAGGAATGAAATAGAGAACCAAACACGATAAAGCCTAAGTAGTTTCTTAGCTAAAGATTAATTAACACCAAGGGTTCACCTTTAATAAGGTTATTGAGTAGCTTTTATACTTCATCTCACTATCAATATATACACAATTTATGAACAATAAGATTATATTGTAAAATGAGATAGAGAGGGATAGAATAGAGAAGAAGAAGATTATAATTTTGTAACGATAAGCAGAAAATATCAATAAGAATTTGATCAAGGAGATACATTATCGAGTAATAGGACCAGATTCAGTCCTAATTTTCCATCTTCTTCATCTCGACCTGTAACAAAAGATATAAATAAAGTTGTATACTTTACTATTAAAATTAATAGACGTGCCGATATAGAGCTGTTACTTTTCTTGGCTAGATGAGATATGAAATCGCAAATATGTTGTGTTTCTTATTCTAAATTTTACTGGAGATTGAACCAAATCTTCTATGAGTTTTCACAAGCATAATGTGTGAATTTGCTCCCACAATGTTAAAAATCGGGGGACACTACAAGAAAAATGCCTTTCGGCGTCTAGCAAAATTAGACGTAGAAAGTAACATTTAGACGCTAACCCATTTTTCGCATCTAAATTTCATAGTCGCCCCTTAGTTGCAGTATTGTTATAGATTGTTTGCGCGTCTAAATTTTTGTTTAGACACGGAAAGTTTTTTTTTTAGTGACTAGCAAATTAGTCGCTAAATGCTGGTCAAAATAGTCCCCCAACTTAGACGCTAATAGTTCAAGGGTAATTTGGTAAAATTGTATAGCGACTAATCAATTAGTTGCAAAATTTACCTTTTAGTGTCTAATAATTTGTCGCGAATGCCACAAAAATTAGATGCTAAAAGTGTAAGGGTAATTTTGTAAAAGGTTTTCGCAACTATTTTATTAGTCGACAAATGTATCTTTTGATGACCAAAATTTAGTGATTAATTGTAATACTTTTAGAAGCTGAATGTAGAATCCAAAAAGTTTTCGCGACTATTTTATTAGTGATCGAATATATCTTTTGGTGACCAAAATTTAGTGGTTAATTATAGTCATTTTAGATGCTAAATGTGGAATCTAATAAGCTTTCGCGACTATTTTATTAGTGGTCGAATGTATCTTTTGGTGGCCAAAATTTAGTAGTTAATTATAATCATTTTAGATGCTGAATGTAAAATCCAATAGGTTTTTACGACTATTTTATTAGTGGACGAATATATCTTTTGATGACCAAAATTTAGTAGTTAATTCTAATCATTTTAGACGCTGAATGTGAAATTCAAAAAATTTTTGCGACTATTTTATTAGTGGACGAATGTATCTTTTGATAACCAAAATTTGATGGTTAATTTATACACTGCATTTTATATAACAATATAATAATTTATCCTCAGTCAATCATGCTACTAGCACTAAACTTGCTATAACTTTAACTATTCTAATTAAACAAAAACATTTAAGTTAATGCTGATAAGATTAGCTAATAACAACAGTAATAATAAAAAGCAAAAATCTATGCTAATTAGTAGTTACATAATGTCTCACCCTTGTCTTCAATATCTTTTTGAGCTGGTTATTGCAAGATTCACATCATAGTCTCACCTTCAGATCAATTATACGCTGAACAACAGATTATAAAATCATAGTAAGTCATAAAAATGTCATCTAATCAAGGAAGGCTCAGTAAACATGACTAAGACTCACAACTCTGAAACACCATAATTACATCAAGACTCATCAAATGCCTCACATGACAACATGCTGCTAATGCGTTGAAGGTAAAGAGAATGCAACAGAAGAGTCCAATACAACTGAAGTAGAAGCTAAAGCTCCCAAAAAGAGGAAAAAAAGGCACCAAATTGAGGTACTCTCTCATCACAACGTAAAAATAACACCTTTTGCCACCTCAACAATGTATAATTTTTGTGCACCTTATCTTAAGAGCTAAAATACATATACTTTCTATAGAAGGAAATTCACTGATCAAGTGAACCACATAAAAGCAATTAAGCAGAGGCCATATTAGTTAAAGGCTTATAATGCACATAAGTTTAGCATATACAATTCAAATTTGCAACCTTTTGCGTTTTCTCACTCAGCATATCATTCTCATCTTGCGGCAGTATTCGATTCTTCCATAAGATAAAATCTCTTTGCCGTAAAATGACTCGAATTCGATCTCACTGCTAACGTAACAAACTTTGGCATCCAGAACCAAAGGATGTTCGTAGGCTTCAGAATGCTTTTCCAAATGTATAATCCAAAATAACTAACACTAACTATTGTAGCTCTGATCAATGGACTGAATTGCCGGACTCCAGCTTTACACGCTTTGAGTAGGTTTGCTTCGTCCAGCCAAGGCATTCCTCTGCTGTCGCAGAGGGATGGGCAAGCTGCCATGAGTTTTTTTTTTGCTGTAAAGTAAAGAGTTAATTAGCATTTGGAACTTGAAACCTTTTTACTTTTTGGGTCTTAGATGCATAAAGATTGCCTTACCCACTCCCTAATAAGTGGCCATCCAGATTTAAGCTGCAAAACACTCATAATCTCTTTCCCATTAACCAAAGGTTTCACATCCCACACTTTCTCAAGACCTGCATATCCGAAAAACAAAAAGAATTATTCACCCCAAAGTTGCACCCACAAAATGATGAAACCTTTTTTAAATTCTAGCGATGAAGGGTCATACATTGCTTCCAATCTTCCAATGGTTATTTTCAACTTCAGTTTAACCATATTCTAAAACCAATCTAAAACATTTTTTGTACACCAAGCTATCTTACCAGCTATCTAAGTTGCTAGCAGGGTACTCACATCACTTCAAAAACAGTGGTCATGCTTAAGGATCAATGATTTGTATTTCTTGAACCTATGTGTTAGAGAAACAACATAAAGCATATGTAGTTAACAGTTCTATAAAGGAGAATATTCATCAGTCAAGGAATCAAAACTACAATAATAGTATTTTTCAAATATATAGCTTATCATGCAGTTAGTAAAATTGAAAAATTAGAGCAGAACTGCATCTTCTAAATGAATTCATAATTTATATAGAATTTTATTTTTTTTAATATTTTTAATAATTATCAGTTACAGAAAGGTTACTGTAAAGGTCGAGGGTTCAACTCCCCTCGCAGAAGCTAAAAGTTTCACTAGTCATAGCATTTATCAATCCATTATGAAATAACACCATTTACCATCCATCAAATCCAAAATAACTATTGCAGGATTCAAACTCGCCTTTTCTATTTCCTCCTCAAATGCTCTCTCCAGCTAATTTGTCTTGCGTCCATCCAGAGCACTCCACAGTAAACCTTATTCTAACAATCCTTCCTTTAAAGCTTTTCAAAAAAAAATAAAAAAATAAAAAAATAAAAAAAAAAAAAAAAACCTCTAAAACCACCTTCACAATGTTCCTATCATCTTTAATAATTTGACTATCACCAACATCTAATATGTTTAATTTTGGATAATATAACAGGCTAATGCATGGTTTCAACAATATCAACACCTCCTGCCTTTAGGATATCGTTAACTTGTACTGACAACTTCCCAACAAAAGTTCTTGAATTCACCACACAAACAATGAGAAAGAATGAAAAAGCCAACCTGAATAAACTATTCCAATATGGGTTGTGGAAGATTCCTAAATGTAACAAGGAAGAAAAAAATGAGATTTTGAAGGGATAATATATAAAATAAAACTGAAAATGAGAAATACAATAAAATAAAATAAATTGTCTTCTTTGAATATTTAAATAAAACTCATACTATACAAATCAATATAAAAAAAAAAAAAATATGATGGAAACACTAATTAATAAAAATAGTAAAAGAGAGAAATAAAATTATTAGGTACCCGAAAGTAGCAAGCTAAGCAAGAAAGAAGGGGTAATGCTTCAAAAGAACAAGGGCCAGTTTATACAACACTCGATTTCCAAAGCCTAGGACCACCATAACCGTCGCTGCCGCCACCACTGCCACCTTCCTACTCCTTTCATCTTTACTCCTCCTTTTCTCCACTACGTACGACCACGTCCCCGCCTTCCTCTTCTGCACCGCCGCTTCCTCCCCCTCCGATCTCTCCCACACTCCTCCCGCCCCCGCCACGTACAAATTCGAACGTTGTTTCAGCGATTTCAGGATGAGCCATGGCCGTTGATTTCTCTGATCGCGTAAGAGGCATGAAATCACCGCCGTACGTGAAGGTTTTCGTGATTCAAGTAGAGTAGTGTGTGACACGGCGGGACCGATGTTGAACTGCTGGTAACATGATGTCATTGTAATGATTATAATGACAAGATCTGCTGGAACGGAGGCCGATTGAGAGAGAGAGAGAGAGAGAGGGAGAGCCGTGTGTAGAATACACACACCAATCTTTAAGATTCATCACCTATTTTTAATCTCTAAAAACTCTCTGCCTTCTTTTTCTGGGTTCAGAAGTAAAGCAATAGGGTTTTTCTAATGTTTTATATGTGGTGTGGAAAAATGGAGAAGAAGATGCGAATGGTGTGGAGAAGTGGAGAGTGTTTGCGTTTTAGGGTAAAATTAGTTTGGGGATTTTGTATAAGTGGGTTTACTATCTTTTTAATTTTAAGTTTCAAAAATTTTTGTGCAAAATTGCTTACTTTTTTTTTTTTTTAAATTTATTTTTTTATATGTTACCCTAAAACCCGGTTTGGGATTTTTTTTTTCTTTAATTGTAAGGATTTAGGGACTTTTCAATTTGTTTACTTTTTAAATTTTAAGGAAAAATTATTTACCTTTTAATTTTTGTTTTTTAAAATTGGAAATTCAGTTTTTTGTATTTTTGTGGACCACAATCGAACGGTTTCCCAGGTAAACGAAAAACTGGTTCAGTTCTCGGTTAGGTTCAGTTTCTACATTTTCCTAAACACCGCTAGCTACATTTGGGTGTTCGGGATACGCCTTGCCAAAACTCACTAAAGTTAACAATCTCTGTCGAAATAGACGCGAAATAAGCACTAGAGTTAGTGAGCGAGTCATTGTCTGCTGAACGAGAGTAGTAGAAACTAGAACTATTGTTCCAGTGCCGGAAGCAGGTCAACTATGAGGGTTTGTATAAATGAGTGACATAGCGGTTAAACAAAAGTTTTAGGGAAAAATGGTAATGTCAGATTAAAGAGAAGACAAAAATAAAATCAAACACCATTCTTTTATTAGTAACAATAAACGAATTTAAAGTACTCATTACAATTATAATACCCACTGTAATGTTAGATGAAAGAGAAGAAAAAAATAAAATCACCCATTACGAAGTTAAAGCCACCCATTTAAGAACGTCACTAACAACAGATGCTTAAACAAATTAAAGCAAATGTTGTGAAGAAACGGATTGAAAATCAAACAATAAAATTGAAATACCATCTATAAAAGAATGAGCTTTGACATAAAAAAGAAAAAGGAAAAAAAAAAAAAAAAGTTACTTTCAATGGGATAATGTAGGCGGCAAAAGTAGAATCAAACAATAAAATTGATTTTGGTTACTAGTAGTATATATTATTTTTGATAAACAATATTTAGTGGCTAACATTTTGGTTGCAAAAAAAATCCTATTAACAACTATAACTTTAGTTGCCAAAATAACATACCCAAAATTTCAATTTATTTCAAGCGGGAACATGGGGCGCTCAAAATTTACCATACTTTTTGGCAACTAAAATCTTAGTTTCCAGAAGAAGATAATTTATTTCAATTTATTTCAAGCGGGAACTTGGGGCACTCAAAATTTACCATACATTTGGCAACTAAAATCTTAGTTGCCAAAAGAAGATAACTTGCAACTAACTAATTAGTTACGCAACAGTAGTTTTAGTCACAAATTAAAATAATATTTGTTTTATTTTACAGGGAAAGTTGGGTTCAAAAAAATTCATCAACTTTTAGTGACTAAATACATTTTAGTTGCTATACATGAGTTTTTGCAACTAATTGTAATATGCATAAAATAATTAGTTGCCAAATGTACCTTGGGCCCTTTGTAATTATTGTTAAAAGTTGGATATTTCGGTAATTGTATTATTTTGTGACTAATAAAAATAGTTACAAATTAATTAATAAATATTTGCATCTAATTTAGCAACTATTCAGTAATTGCAAATAATTATTTTCTGTAACCATAATTTTAGTTGTAGAATCCCTTGTTGTAGTTGCCAATTGTGTTCGTGCAAGAATTGGCAACCAAAAAAATTAGTCGCTGATGTGATATTTTGGGCAACAAATCACATTAGTCACAAAATATTAATTTTAGATGCTAAAAGCGAGAATAAATGGGCCCTAGAATTTTATTCCCTTTGGCCAACTAATTGGAATTTAGTTACTAAATGTGGGGCATCTAAAACTATTTTTGCCTAGTTGCAAAAAGTACTTTTTCTTGTAATGGGAGTAAAATATCAAATTAAAAATAGCACAATATGGGAAGAATATCAACCACACAGAGATAATATTTTACGTGGTTTGGTGTAAATTGCCTATATCCACATATGAGAGAGATCCACTATAATTTTTGGAACACAATACATGAATGCATCACACCATCAAGCTAGTACTTAGGCAGGAATTCCACCTTATGGTGTTTTATCCCTACAACACCATCAACCCTTTACATAGGCGCACATCTTGTTCCTATGGTGTTTAATACCCTTTAGTATTTACCAGATACCTAGAGCCCTTTAACCTATCGTACCCTTACCACAAAACCATTGTGTCCTCACATTCTCTCTTTCTCTTATTCTCTCTCTCATAACCTTGAATTTGTTATAATCTCTCTATTTATAGGTAGAATAGGACATTCTTTTTCTATTAGGATTCATATTTCTAATCGACTCCTCTAATTTAATTCATTCTCTTATTTTAACTCAAAATAAAATCCTAAACCAATTCTTCTTTCCTAATACAACTCAAAGTAAAGTGTTAAATAAGTGAAGCATGCGACGTCGTTTAGACCAGGTAACAAAACGCTATCGTTTTGTCCATTATTCCAAATGAATCACAGCCATCAAAGTTAAAGAGAATCCAAAGGCTCAAATGCAATCAGAAGTCAACAGTATAAAAGGGGACTATTCACGCATTTGGGTGTAATCGAGTTTTAGGTCTTCGTTTCGTTTCCTCTGAAAAATCATTTTTCTGGGTTAGGGTTTCACGCTCATTCTGGGTTTTCTTTGTGTGAATCTTTCTAGAGTATTGTTTGAGGGCAGGGGTTCCTTAAAGGGTATAAAAAACTCTAGGGTTTATTAGGATTTGAGGGATACAGGGAAGTGAATGAGTGTTTGATTCTGTGAGTGACAGTGAAGAAGATTCTTCTGTAAAGTGTAATCTTTGAGGTAATCAATACTAGTACAGCGAGCTCCATATTCTGGAGTTCAACGTGGATGTAACTTGTTCTATATTGAACAAGCGAACCATGGTATATCTTGTGTTGTGTGATTGTTTGTTGTTCTTGCAGTTTCTATTTTGTATTGTGACTAATATTGCAGGTTGAAGGATTGGTATTGATTTACAACAGTGGTATCAGATAATTTTAGGTCTAAATCGAGTCTAGGGTTAGAAATCGTTCAACTCTTGATGAACTCAAAAATTAGGGTTTGTCAGATTTTGGGGGTTTTTCGATTTAAAGGTCTCTAGATCATTAGGCTATCAAATCTTGTTGAGTCTTGGGGCTAATTCGTGAGATTAGGTCACATACACAAGGGATCGACGAAAATAGGGAAAAAATCAAAATTAGGGTTTTTTGTCAAGATTTAGGGGTTTTCCTTTTTTAGGGGTCTTGAATATCTTTTGAGTCTGTTTAAGGGTATGTAGGCTGGAATACTAGTGACTGCCTTAAAAACTGCCTGACAGTATTTGGCAACTACTGGTGTAACAAAGCCATGTACTCCTTATACTGCTCTATCTTGTCATTGTAAATATGATGAACACTACCACGCGTGTAGAGATATCCCAGTATGATGGGAAGATGGATTTCAATACCTGGAAGAAAAAGATGAAGGCACTTTTATCCCACAACAAGGTGGGAATAGCACTGGAGAAAGATGAAACCAAGTGGTCAGAAGAAAAGACGAAAAAGAAAGTAGAGATAGATGAAGAAGCATACAATCTGATAATCATGAATTTATTCGATAGTGTTCTGCGAAAAGTGGATGGTCTTGACACACCAATAGAGCTCTGGGGTAACTCGAAACTCTGTATGCATTGAAATCTGCTCCTAATTTAGCATTCTTGAAAGGTGCTCTGTTTTCTTATAGAACGGATGCCTCTAAGTCATTAGAAGAAAATTTAGATGAATTTCTAAAAATGACAATAGTGCTAAAAGGAACTGATCAGGAATTAGGAGATTCTAGTCTGCAATGATTTTGTTAAATTCTCTTCCTGATGAATATTTAGTAGTAAAGAATGCATTACAGTACACTGGTACAGTCCTAGTGTGATCTAATAATGGCTGGCTTAAAATCCAGAGAACTAGAGTTGAAAATACAAAAGAGAAATGGGAATAATCTCTTTGTAAAAGGAAACAAGATACTGGTCATTTTGGTAAAGATACTGGAAAGGGGTTCAACAAAACTTAGGGCCAAAGAATAAGAAGAAAGGCAAAGGCTATAATAACAATAAGTCAA